TAAAAAGTAAATGATCTGGTTACATACTTCCCCTTAAGAATATATATGGGTACCTTTGAATAGGAAAGAAAGGATCGTGAGCTGTGTTATCATCTATTGTGTTCTTCAAATATCTTGCTACTACGTCAGCGAGCATTGCATCTACAACAGGTTCAACATCTTCAAAGTCTGGGTCCCCTAGTCCCATTCTCATTGCAAACATCTCCTTCAATGCTTCAACCATACGGTGGAGTCCAAGGGGTCCAGAAAGCTCACCATATTGAGCAAGTATATTCAAAACCTACAATAGAAAATTGATCTTTCAGGTAGTCAATCACCAACGAAAAGTGTTTGTGTGTGTGTTTGAGAGAGAGTGAGAGATATGGTAAATTCAGAAGAAAATACGCACGAGTAGCGCCCCAACACCTCCAGATGAAGGAGGCGGCATCGTAATTATCTCGCGCCCCATGACCTTTTTGGAAATTGGCGTTCTGCGTTGAACGGTATAACCTTGCAAGTCTTCCAATGTGATTATCCCTCCTTTGTCTTGGATATCAGCAACCAAATCGCGCCCCACGGGACCGTTGTAAAACACCGAGGGCCCTTCATCTGCAATTTTCTGCAACGTGCTCGCAAGTTGAAGGTCGCGACACAGATCTCCAGGCTGCAATAGTGTTCCATCTTTCATGAACTTCTCACGTAAACCGGGATCTCTGGATATTGCATCCTCTGATTGTTCCATTTCATATGCTAGAAAAGGAGACACCCGAAATCCCTTCTCTGCTAGATCAATTGCAGGTTGCACTAGTTCCTTCCAAGGACGCTTCCCATATTTCTCCCAAGCCTCATGGAGACCTTTTAATTCCCCTGGAACTGCTACTGATAGTCCACCTTGGAATTTTCCAGCGGGATTATGCTCATACATATCCTGTGCATATAGTTTTTTACATTATTATGGCATTTGAGTATTTGTTTGTTCAGAAAAAACAAACGGAACATGTGGAAATGTCTATTTAGGCATTTCGTTAGTAAAGTCACAAATAAATTGAAATTAGGGAAAACTATCGAATTGCCATGTTAGATGTAACATTTGCCTTGGTTCTTAAAATGTCCACCATGTAAAAGTCTATGACACTTTAACCCGAAAGACATTGTTTTTTCTTGGAAAATTACAAAAATCCCTTTAACAATAATAATATAAATAATAATAATAATAATAATAATAATAATAATAATAATAATAATAATAATAATAATAATAATAATAATAATAATAAAGAAATAGTGTATAGAAAGAATAAGATACTTACGTATTTCAACAAAGGGAAATTTTTTCATGCAAGCTGGACCGCTTGTCTACATATGTGGTCTAGAAAGTGTAAAGCATCCATCTTAAAGATGGATGCAAGTAGATGTTCCATCTAAAAACAATGAAACTAACAATTCAAATGTTTTTTTTATTAGAATTATTATTTTTAGTTTTATTTTTTCATATTCATGATCTCCATGCTAAATATTACATGTACTTACAAATTAAGTCCTGAAATCAATCTTAAAATAGTTTTATTCGGCAGCCCGCATTCCTACATATGCGGGCTTGACAGCAGAGAAACCAGGTCCTTTCACAAATGCTTCATTAGTGTGCTCGGCAAATGGTATGGGACCTCTGCAATAGGGCCATACCAGTGGTTGGGGTTTTGAATCTTGCCGTTGAACCACGTGGTCAAACATGTATATTTCTAATAAAACGTGATATAAGAATGCAAGTGACGTAAATAATAGCCAAAAGGCCCACTCCACCACGCACGCTTATAAAAAGGAATATATAAAGGGAAAAGTTTATATAAGATTGCAACTTTAAAATGTAGAATCACATATGTACCTCAAAAATAAATTGGAAATGTTGTTTTAATGTTGAATAAACCATCTAATCGATCATCTCGACATTGAGATGTATGAATATGAAAAAAAAAAGTTTGTGAGTCTCTAATATAGTTCATCTTGCAATACAATATCAAGATCATCAATTATCAAGATTTTCATATATTTATAGATCTTTTTGATTTATACCATTTTTAAAATTTAAAATTTTCTAATTAGATATGAAAATAGATTTTAAAATAATTCTAAGAATTTTTTCGCCTTCATTGGATTGTTTAAGGTTGCATCCTCATAG